GATTTTTTACTCTGGAAAATTGATAATTCTTCACTAAATTTTGGGTCTAACATTTGAATATAATCACAGGGTTCACACAGATTCTGAAATATAAAACAGGGTGGATCTATTTAATATTATTTCAATGGAAAAGTAATACGACAAATTGTTTAAGTAATACCTATTGCAATAATTTTATGATTTATGAATAATTCTATTATATGAAATTTAAATATATTTACCTGTGTTTGTTCATAAAAAGCTTTATATCCGCCATCTAGAATATAGACTTCTGGGTAATATAGACTAGGATAATTATCACTATTCAATAATCGGTCTTGAGATCGAAGATATCGTAATCTGAAAAAGAACAATATATAACGTATAATTTCGGGAATATTGCGGCTAATGTATTATACGCAACACATTCAAATAAGTATAAGTCCGATAATAGCATGCACTTGTTTGAATATTTGATACTTACAGTGTAGGTGCTCTCTGTGAAGAAAATTCACAATGAAATATTAGAATTTTAGGTTTATCTTGTAATTGTAATAAATTATCTATAGAATCTTTAATATAAGTATTAATTGCTCCCTGGATATGACCACCATCATATTCATATTGATATCTACAATCTAGTATCATATGATTATTATCTATAGTTGGGTATTTTCCATTTAATAAATCTTCAACCTGAAATATAAATGATATACTTAATATTTATACAGATCAAATATAAAACAGTTCACTATTCATATTTGGTTTTAATAATATCCTATATGAAATTTATAAGAATAAAAAATGTGCTTGAATATTACTTACAGTTTGAGGTGAAATAGACTTGAGATCTTTATGTTTACCACATACAGTAGGTAGACTATAAGGTCGACTACAATCAGCTATTAATTCTACATCATCTGATAATCTTTCTACAGCTGATTTAATTCGTTCATCTTCTTGTCTTTCATTTATTTCTTCTTTTATTTCTTCATTTCTAACTTGTACCATCTTATTCTTATTATAACACACCGGTGATGACTTCAAATCAATTTCCATCATATTCTTCCTCATTTGTTGAGATAAATTACGACAAGCTTTCTTCGGTCGACGGATTTCAAACTGTCATAGAAAAGCAGAATTGTGCAAGTTTAAGGAAAATGAAATTGACAAAAAAATGAACAGAGGTTCCGAAGGTTACTTTTCCATATACATGTAGATAAATCAAAGCTTAACAACCACCACCTTATAGTTTCGATAAATAGAGGATGAATTATTAAAGAGAATTTTTGTTTACCATATTTTCTGTAGATTTTCCATTTTCTATAGATTTTGTTTTTAAAGGTAAAGATTGTCAATGAAGAGAGAATGAAGTGATAATGATTTAAGATAAAATACATGACGATATTTATAGTGATAATGAATATAATTTCGAGTGAATTATATCATTATGATTACTAATCATTTTCTATCATAACTAATTATATTTCTGTTTTAATTACAGTCATTATATTTCTATGTGAGTA